GTAGTTCTAGCTATAGTTACTTTTATTTTTCTTTTCAATTTTTTATATTTAAAAAATCAAAAGAATTCACAAAATTTTCTGAGTAGATAAGCATAGCTGCTATTCAGGCACAGCTAATATATAGTATTGTTTTGAATTTCTTTTTTAATATTAGCTAGATATGTTTGCGTAGGCAGACTAGCATTTAACTTGCTACATATGTACATAAGAGATGTTGTTTCTTTCACGATATATACCATGTTATATACAATATTAAATAAAGAAATAATGCTTACCTATAAGGGGAAACCCCCAAAAAAATAAAATAAATTAATTAAAACTGATTTTATTAATTTTTTTTAAATATTGTTATAAATTTTAATTAAATAATCACTATATATTAATTAATAACTGTTTCAGTTTTATAAATAAAAATATTAAATATTTTATATTTATGAATTTACTTATATTAGATTTAAATATTTTTTAAAAAATTATAATATAAAAAAAAACTTTTTAATTATATTTTACCAATAGATATTTAAAGATAATAATACAGAAAAACATTCCTAAATGCACCCTCTATAAATACACTTATTATATTTTCTTTTTCTAAATATACAGTCAAGCTTGGTTTCAAGTATATAGAACTTTTAATAAAATTACCTCTATAAATACATATCCTCTGTAGATGCACATTTTTCAAAATTTTTTTTATAGTTCTGAAAGGTGTACATTTAGAGAGGGTTTACTGTAATAAAAAGATAATAGAATAAAAAAATTTTTATTATAGAATTTTATAAATATATTTTTCAAAAAATATCAATTTTATTATTTATACACAGTGAAATTCGATATAGTGGATATTTGATATAACAGAAACATATAAAAATTTTAATATAGTGGAATAGACTCAAAAACAATTATAATAAAATAATCATGATACAATGGATTTGATAATAAAATTTAAAAAAATTTCATTATAGTGGAATTTTCAAAATTTTTTACTAATTGCCCTAGGGTTACGTTATATCGAATTTTACTGTGTACTATAAATAAAAATTTTTAAGAATACTTGTTTTTATTTAAATATTCTGTTTAAATGAATTTCAAACTGGTTTATTCAATTATACTTATTTAAACAAGTTTAATTATATATTATGGATTAATTTGAAATCTTAATTAAAATTTGATATAAAATTAATAAATAAAAATTATTACACCAGCGTATTTAAGAAAAACATATAAATTCTATTATCAAAGAAATATATTATCTGATAGAATTTGCAATCATACAAAAAATTATATAAAATCGAATAAAATAAAATCAAAGAAAAATCTTATTCAAAAATTTTGGATTCAATATTAAAGTTATACAATAATAGTACTAAATATTGTTTTAAATAATTTATTAGATTCGGTTTATAATTTTTATAACATGATGAGTATTGGTTTTGTGGTAAATGGTTCAAAAAATACAATTTATTTTAATTCAATGAAAATAATGTGTATATACATAAAAATTATTTTTTTGGTTATAATTAAACGATTATCAAAAAGACAACATAAAAGAATTAGAAGTTGATTAATTAATTAATAAAAACAATTAAAACAATTAAGAATACCAATCGATTATTTCTTACTTTACACCGATTATATGGAGCTTTTTTTTTTATTAAAAATTTTTTTTCAAATCGGTCTATATAATTATTATTGTTTTTTTCTGACAGAAATGTCCGGGCGCCTTCACGGGAGAACAATTTGTTTCCAAAAAAAATTTTAGAAAAGAAAAAAGAAGTATAAATCATCATATTTCTCTATAGAGAACCAAATTTAAATACTTGAATCTATTTTTTCCACTATCTTGAAAGCCTCGATCTCTTCGATAATAAAACTATTGGTATCCAAAATGCTGTCTGCATACGAATGAATGTTACAAGTACCGATCATATTTTTTACGACCAAGTCGCTCTGTCCAAATTGTGCACCATTATTCGCGTTATCGTAGACAGCGTAATTGGAATCGTCCACACGGCTAACCTTGATGTTGGCATTAGTCTTTCCGTTTCCGAAGGTAAAAATGAAACTATCAAAAGTACTCGTCCAAGTAGGAATATTTCTGTAAATCCAGCCACACGGATTATATCCTCCGATAATCTGTCCTGATCCTTTAACCTTAATTACTACGATAGCCGATCCCTGATTGTTGACGTAACCACGAAACACCTCATCCTTGAATCCATGGAGTGAGCCACGATAAAGAAGTGTGAACTCATAAGGAACCTTTGTTGTGACACCAAACTTTTCACCACTTCTGTTGATCCAATTTGCCAGAATTGCAGCATGTCTAGATTTGATTATGTTTGAATCAATTTTCCATCGACCCATTCTTGGAGTCAAATTTGGAGTCTTTGGTTCAGTACCTGCCAGGTGATGTGACATAACGTCTTCATAAATATTTCGTGGAAGAATTTTTTTATATGGTCGGACTTTATAATAGAAATCCTTGGATGAAAACTCGAAGAAACGAATTAGGGGTATAAATGGTTCCACGGATTTCTTTAGTGCATCGAATTGCTTGTCTGACCACTTTGTAACATCGTTGAACACCTTGTCGTTAGCTGTAGAAGTCTGAGTGGTTCCCCATTTGATCAAATGCTCCCAAATTTCTATTTCCTCGAATTGCAGGTCGTCTCGTGATAATAATCCATATAGGATGTCTCTATCCAAAGATTGAAAATTTTTCGAGGAGAAGAATGTTTGCGGGTCTTGGCAAATATATTCCAGACAATGATCTTGAAGTTTCTTGCATCTGTCATGCCTAATAACGGTTTGTAAAACTTGAACGATATTAAGCCTCAACCAATTTGATTTTTCTTCGATAAGGTGATTCTGACAGTAGGTTATTAATTCGTCCAGCAGTAGTTCATCCGATGCTATTAAAAGTCCAAGAATGTCAGAACCTGATTGTTTATCTAAATCAAGAGTTCCCGCATAAATATATCTAATAACAATTTTGTTTTATAAATTGAGATGATTCACCAAGTGTTAACAACAACGGAGGAACGACAATGATAAAAGACCTACTTAAGCATCATAGCAAATACCATGGGTGTAATGTTTGGTTTATTAAATATGATGATATTATCTTTCTTAACGGCCCAATCACTAGAAAAAGCTCTCATAAAATAAGGTGACCTCGCTCTCAGAATGTTTGAATGGGCTCGGAATTCTTTTACGTTCGAACCTTCACCGACTTGAATACTGACATTATAATCATCCGCATTATCAAGAAGTTGTGAATAGTCGTGCGAAAGTTTTGAAGAGAAATGAGTTGGCATATTGGTTTTTTGAGTAAATTTTTATTCTTTGTTGAGGAAAAGATCAAGAAGTACGTTTTTACGAACAATTTTCCTGTATGTTGATTATGCGTTAGCCATAAACGGATCGAACGGCGCATTATTAAGGGAGCCTTTTAATTAGATCACGTGAGTTATTTGGAGATGAGCCTTGTCACCTGAATTGTGCTCATGATATATTTGATAAGCTCTCACGTGTGTCATGCATCACGTATTTGTGTTGGAAAAAAAAAAAAGTTCCCTCTTATAACCATAATGACCAGAATTAATTTAATAAGATTCAACACGGCCCTTGCGTATTACGTATACAAACAGTGTAACATACGTTAAAGTTAATTCATCCATACCCAAACAAATATATTTCTACAAGTTTGTTGTACAGGATTAATCTCGCCAACAATGTCATTTAGATATGTTGCGTGGTAAAGTATCAAAAAAAAAAAAAAGCAAAAAAAAAATAGCGAAATCATATTTGTAGGCAAAAAAATTCTGCAACATTAATTTTGGTTAAGATCACATATTGATGAGCGAATCTAACCCCAAAAAACTTGTAGAGATCTGCTTAAATGGAGAATTTGGTCATGTACTGGAGATGGAATTTGAACTTCGGAGCCTGAAAAAGTTTTTCCTAAATTTTAAAACCTAATTGGAAAGAATATGGGAAGAACCGTTTTCCCAACAAGAAAATTACCATTTGGTCATTATAGTGCCACCAACTTTGTTACGCATTGCAAATACAAAGAGGGTCACACAAAAAAAAAAAACACTGAAAGATCTATTATGTAACTGTCATATAAGACGCACAGTTTTGTCGATAACTTTGTGTTGTAGGTAACCTTTCTTTAAACGACTCAGGTCAAATGATTGAAAGGATAGCAAACATTAAAGCTATATAATTCCTATCTTTATTATTACTTTATGCTCTCGTGGTTTTTTTACTTTCAAAATATTTTTTTCCTTGCTTATCGATTCCACGACACCAATATATAACAATTTAGAATTCTTATATCACGAATAAAAATTATACTTTACTTGGAACACCTTCCGTATCGAGCTCAAGTTATCAATAATTTCGCGTTTCTGATCCTTTTGCCCTGAATTTCTTTAATACCTTGGCACATACATTCCAGAATTCTTGATTAAATTACGAGATTCAAGTATGAAGCATGATCCTTTGCATTTATTAGATTTTCTATTAATTAGTTATTTTTCAAATTAATTTTTAGCTAACCGCGACTACAGAGTATTAATATATGCGTAAGGAGGATGCCAGGAAATATTGGTGATAACAGCTTAGGTAATAACACGCTCGCAAAGAAATTTGGCGTAGATGTGTTCGCGGCTGCTTTAGCGGCATTTATTGTTTCTCCGTTTATAACGATAATTGATAGGTAATTATTTTATTGATTCTATTTCCTCCTCATCATATTCTTCATATGATACGCGTCACCGCCTAAATCCTTGTCATTCCTTCGCTTAAAACACAGGTCCATCATTGAAAATGCTTCAGGTCGTGCCACCCTCAGTACATCCCTGAAAAAAGGTTTTCATAGTCTGTTTTCTCGACCGTTCGCCTTCATCCGCACACCTTCTTTCCTCCTTGTTTTTGGTGTCTACAGTGCGACCTATTCAACCGCAAATACTATCGACACTATATGTTCATTTGCCTCCCGCGACAGTCAAACACCAAAGTTCATCGGCACCACGTTAGTCAACCTGTCTACCTGTATTTACAAAGATCGCGCCTTTACTCGTATGTTTGGAATGGTCGCACCAAAAGGCCTTCCGTTAGGTACCTATGGCCTTTTCGCAGCTCGTGACTCTTTAACCATAGCAGCAAGTTTTAATTTGCCTGATGGTGTGTCCGCTCGCCTCCGAGATTCTCAGTTTCTCAGGGATCACGGTGTCCCGATAAGTTATGAAACGTCACAGAACGTGGCACAAATATTATGTCCAGCGATAATGCAGATTTTTAGTTGTACATTTCATTTGCTAGGATTGGATTTATATAATCGGCCAAAGATGAGTTTGAATGAGAGGATAGAGTTCTTAAAAAGGATATACGTAAAGACAGCGATAACGCGAATTGCAAGAATTGGACCGGCGTTTGGGATTGGAGGTGTAGCGAACAGAATGATTAGAGAAAGAGGGAACAGCATGATTATTGGCACGGGCGAGCGTCTAATGGCAAAGAGGGGTGCTACTGTCACAGCTGTGGCAGTATCAAAGGGTCCGGGTACCGGGGTACATAGTATTGCCAAGGCACTTTCGGGAAATCGATAACCTAAAAAGAATTGCAAAAATAAGAAACGTTAAAATCCGTGAACTTTATTCTTAATTATGTGGGATCAAGACATGTAATGGAGAACCATATTTGATATTTGACTTTTTAGATCTGATAATAGAATAAAGCTAGTGATTTTCCTTTTCTTTATATCACCTTTCTCCAAAGACGCGTGCATTTACAATACCCTCTCTCATATTATGTTTGTAAATTACCTTTCTGTTTTGAACCAACTTAAAATAAACTATTGTTCTTCCAAAACATTTTGAACTTTAAGACAAACTAATTTGTTATCGAATTTTACTCTTTGACTATCAGATCATAGTTTCTCTTGGATGGAATTATCTGGATGAAGCAACAATGATCTAGTTCGACAAGTTTTGTCGAAGATTATTCTAACCCAATTCTATAAAAGATTGGCTAAGCGAAAAGTCGCCTTTCCTTTTTTTTCCTCATGGTTATGACGTCCTTAATTACATACAGTATATTGGGAATAAATATCAAAAAGCTTTTTGGAAACATGTTTTCTCCATTTTAGTATGCTTTAAACAGGATCCGAAAATACAACTGGGATGTGTGACCTTAACCTAGAAGATATAATGCTTTTTTCTTGAGAACAATCTTTTTTATTTTAAAAATTTTGTCCAAGACTACTTGGTTGTAAACAGGTGTGCTAATTTCAAGAATATTGATGCATATTTTTATTTTATTTATTATTTTGAAAATAGTTATAGCAATGAAAATACACTTAAGAATATTCTTTTGATTTTTAATAAAGTTAACTAATAACATAAAATTATCTTGTTTATATCTAAAGTCTTTAATAAAAGGATTTTATTCTTGATCCTTATACGATCATTCTAACTGACTTGTAAATAAAACTATTAAAAACTTATTATTACAATAAAACACCACTGTTAAATTAGACTTATAAAATCTAAGAATAATAAATAAAACAAAGTAAAAAAGATAATAATCAGCAAAAAATATAAAAAAACAAAAGATTACTGATTATAAGAACTATTTATATATTCAAAAAGAAAGAAATATCAAATCAGAAAATGAAAATGAAATTCAAGAGGCAATATTAAAAGTAAAAATTTAAAAAAACACAAAAAAATTTCAAAAGATATTTAGCAATAAAAAATTTTTGAAAATTATAAAAGTCATAATAAAATCAATAAAAAAAATGAAATAATATGAAATTAAAGAGAAATAAAAGAGAAAATAAAGAATAAATTTGTCAAACATTAATTACAATTTGTTAAATAATATATAATATTAAATAATTTTATTAAATTTTATAATAATTAATTGTTATTATTATATTAAATTTGAATATAAATTTTTTATTATCAAATATTTTTTATTATTATTAAATATTTATTTTTTATTATTAAATATAGTATATATTTTTTAATTATTAATATTATAATTTTTATTGTCAAATATATATAGTATATACAGTATATATATTAAAAAAAATAAGTAATATAAATTAATATGAACTCTTTTCGCTAATCCCCTTGCCAACCCAAAAAACAGATGTTTTCAAAAATAATTTTATTTTTTGAGAATAAAGTTTATATACTTTCCTTAAAAACATTACTTCCTGAAGGCAGGTGCCTCCTCCACTTGTTTACTCTTCCTTTTTCGAAAAATTTTGGATATTTCAATAACAAAATAAACAAAACATTATTTATTTGGTCTATGGCAAGAACACCATATTAAAAAGAAGAAACCTATAGAAAAATACCTTTCACTATTTCTCCAAAGATCTGAAACTTTAGAAAGTAAACCACTAATGAATGCATTTCCAAGCTCCATAAGAACCTTGGATCCACTATAAGTGAACACCTTTGTTTGGAGGTGGGTAGATAAGCTAGTTGGGCTTGCCAAGTGAATGCATTTCCCAAGCTCTATAAGA